CTTTTATTTTTTGGTTGAGAAATACAAAAACATAAAATTTCTTGACGGAGAAATTTTATTTATGTTAACAGATAAAGTTGTTGTTATTGTTATTTAAATGAATCAATAAACAAATATTTTTAAACTTTTCTCAGTTTAAATTTCCAGTGCAGTAAATGTCAATAAATGTAACTGCACAAACAAAACTCCTCAGAGTGTAAAGTGGTCTTGTGGCCAAAAAGTTTGAGAGCCATTTCTGCAGAACACACTATAGTGTGCTGCTGCCTCTCAACATCTTATGCTTATGTGGACTGTTTTTGTTTTATATGCCTTTTATCTTTCTCAATCCTAAATGATTTCTCAAGAAAACGCTGAACATTTTTTCAGACAATGGAATGACAAATAAAACTTAAGTTTTAAAACAAGCAGTCACTCTAAGTGCTACTTCTCATCCTTATCCTGCCTGCCTGCATTTCCACCCTGCTATGATGTCTTAGTCCTGGGAGGATGACTGGAATGCTATAAAATATAGAGTGATCTCAGAACCCTCTCGCTCCTATCTAGAGCTTTGAGGATGGTGTTGGACCCAAGTGAATCTGGCTATAGGTGCTGGAATCTAGGAAACGGACCCCCCTTAGCACATGAGAATATGCGGAGGGGATGGACCAGGTGCATTTAGCCATGGATCATACATCCTTGAGGAACCAATGTCCTAAAGTTAAAGGAATTCATTTTTTTTTCACATTTTCCACCAAATCCTATATATTCGTCAAAACTCACAAAGGTTTCCTAAGTACTAGAAAAAAAATACTGATCTCTTTCTTTTGGACATCACCCACTAAATCTGAACTGTTGTCTTCAATTTAGTGCTTACGTATATTGTCATAGATTTTTTTCCCAAATAATAAAGTTCAATATGTTTAGAACATGAACCTATCTTTCCCTCACAACCTGCCCTTCTTGAATTTATTATGTATGAACATCCATCCAACAAAATGCATCACTAAATGCAAAAATTTGGGAATCCTTATTTATCCTTTCATCCCCTCAAAATTCTCCACTCATTTAATCCATTCAACAACCTCACCACGGATGACTATTTTGCACATAAGATGAGTAAAACTTTGAGAGATAATTAACTCATTCAATTAGTAAATGATGAAGCAGGAATTCCAATTCAGGTTATATGAGTTCAGAGATCAAGATCTTACCAATACATTATACTGTTCAGTTTATATGCCTGGTAACTTGTTTTCCTAATACCAGCAACAGCAGAGCAACAACCACGACATTAACATTCTCAACAAGAACAACAGTAACAGTGACAACAATAAAAACAACTTCCAGTTATTGAGTTCTTACTGTTTCAGTCACTGTATTAGGTACTTTATATGAATTTCCTCATTTAATTCACAACATATCCACATGACATGACCACTATCTGTTGTAATTTTATAGGAGAGGATAACGAGGCTCAGAAAACTTAACTTCCTCAAGGTCACTGGTGAAAAACGGTTGGATAAAAGGCTGGAATATGAACCAAGAGCTGTCTGATTCCAAGTCACACTACTTCTAACCACAATGTTCCACTGTCTTATTTTAATGAGAAAGTTTGTTCATGGCGGGTAAAGATCTTTTTTACTCACCATGAAAAACATGACACACTCTTTGGAATCAGACATGGGTTTTAATCTCATTTCAAACAGATAACTTGTATGACTTCAGCACAGTTATTAAACCTCTGCTGTGAAACAGCATCAATGCCAACAATCTGACAGAGTTTTGATGATTAAAGAAGTTATATATCTCACCTAGAACATGATAGATAGACTTTAAATCAAATGTCCTTTTCATTATTAGACACTGCCTCAGAAGGTGATTTTATGAAATGACCTCCTAGTTCCGTGTGTTTACATTTGAATCCTGTCTCAGACAGGATCAGGAAATGAATATGGCACAGAAGAAAGTTACTGCAGAATTGATACCTGTTATTATTACTACAGAATTTGAAATAGAGGAAATTTAGATATGCCTTCCTTAAAACCATAAATAACCATTAAGATGTATGAAATAGCATTGACTCTGTAAGGATACTTTTGGCAATCTAGTCTCAAAGAATGGGGAGAAAACCAAAACCATGAAAATATTTAGTGTAGTATTTTTTAAATAATCATAAACAATTAAAACTAATAGAAAACCCTACAATAAAGAATTATTAAATAATCTAGGAGAATATCTACTCTAAGGGATAGACATCCATTCACATGATGCTATGAAGATTAGGTAGCTTTAGGAAAGTCACTTGTAAAGCAATGTAAAGTGAAATCAGAAAGATATAAATTTTTTTCTATGCCATAGTGATCTCAACCGTGTTCTTAAAAACAAAAAAACTGAGAAGCATATGAAAAGAAACTGGAAACATCCAGGTGGCTAGAAATTATCGGGGGTGATTTTTTTCTTTACTTTACATATTTTATCTAATGTTATAAAGTTTATTTTAATAATTAAAATATACGCTGAAGAACAACATTGAATTAGATTGTAATTTAATATATTGACCATGTCTTATAATAATAGCCAACAGATATATAAAGAGTGAACAGATGGATTAGAAATCCCAGAGTAAGATTCAGCATCTGTATAAATTTTACTTTCTTAATTCATCTTCTGGACTGGTAATCCTGCGAAATCTCAGGTCCAGACCAAATGTTACCTCTGAGCAGCTGCAGGAGAAAACATGATGCCTCTTTGAAATTGAGAAATAAATCTAGTTTTTATTGAAATGCCAGCGGGAGCATTTCACTGCTGTGAACACCTGGCATTTCCTGAGTTGGGGTGGATTAAGAGTCAACTCACTGTGGTAGGAGTTCTCTCTGAGGATCTACTACCTTGAAATAGAAAGGGGTTGTGGGACAGGCCCTTAGAGAAGAGTGGGTGATCAGGCAAAGAACACAGTCTTTACTTAGCAACTCTTTGACCCCAGAAGTAGTACTAAGAAGGAGGAAGATTCTGTTACCATATTCTTACCATCACTTAATAGACGGCGTCTCACTATTTCCACTCCCATATTCACTGCATTTTTCAAATTCACCGAAGGCTCTTCGAAGGCCGAGTTTTTCATCATCAGGACGCTGATCTCGTACCTGCCATCGTTGCAGTTCTGACTCACCTGAGAGTTCCAGAGCATCAGCCCTGGATGGAGGAGCAGCGACCACAAAGCCAAGCCCAACAGAGGTATCGTCATGACCTCGCTCTCCTCAGAACCATACTCCTGGGCTCACTTGCTTTACTCTGGGCTTTTAGGGAGACAGAGACTCCAGCTGGACTGTCTCTTACTGGGTCCCTCAGTCCACTCTCCCCAACATTCCTTTCTGGTCCTGCCCCATTGGTCACGTGGACCACAGAATACTGCCTGCTGGCCAGTAATTAACAGCTACATTATGGTAGGAAATAAATCAAAGTTCACTTTGTGTATTTGCTCACAGAAAGGTTAGAGTTATAAACAGGGAGATTACCTGGACATCATCCAATAAAAATATATCGATTTATGACACATCACTGGGAAGAGAGAACAGAGGAAGAGGAAAGTGGAGTATATACATAAAAAGCTTTGTAAAATGGAAAATAAGGTCAAAAGACTTGAGAAAAGAACAAACGCAATGGACTACTTGTGTTTATGTTATAGCTGCATATTGAAACTGAATCTTTAACTGGGAAGAGCTGTTTTTCAATCAGTCAGTCAGCAACTATTTATTGAGTCCCGATTATATGTTGGGCATTGGCAAGGCACTGGGCATACAGCCATGAATGATATTACACGAATGTTCTCATGGAAAATGCATTCTAGTAGGGAAAACAAACATTAAGCAAATAATTATGACTGACTAAACTCAACAACAACAAAAAAAGTGCAAAGTGCTGTAAGACATTGGTCCCCAACCTTTTTGGCAGCAGAGACAGGTACTCCTATGAGAATCTAATGCCTGATGACCTGAGGTGGAGCTGAGGCGGTGATGCTAATGCTGGGGAGCAGCTGCAAATACAGATGAAGCTTTGCTCGCTCGCCCACTGCTCACCTCCTGCCATCCAGCCCAGTTTTCAACTGGCCATGGACTGGTACCAGTCCACAGTCCGGAGGTTGGGGACCCCTGCACTAACAAACTCGATAACCTAGAAGAATTGAATAAATTCCTAGAACATACAACCTACCAAAACCAAATAAAGAAAAAACAGAAAGCCTGAACAGACCAATAATAAAAAAGGAGATTGAATAAGTAATCAAAAACCTCTCAACAAAGAAACCCAGGACCAGATGTCTTTATAGGTGAATTCCACCAAACATTCAAAGAAGAATTAATAGCAATCGTTCTTAAACTCTCCCCAAAATTAAGAGGGAACACTTCCAAACCCATTTTATGATGCTAATATCATCCTAATACAAAGCCAGAAAAAGAGATCAAGAAAGGCCAAAATCCCAGATCAACAAAGATGCAAAAGTCCTCAATACATACTAGCAAACTGAATTCAACAACACAGTTAAAGTGTCATACAACATGATCAAGTGGGATTTATCTCTGTGATGCTTAGATAGTTCACTATATCCAAATCACTGCGATATACCACATTAACGAAATGGAAAAAAAAACCCATAGATGCAGAAAAGTATTTGATAAAGTTCAACACCCATGTATGATTAAAACTTTTAACAAAATATGTATAGAAGAAACTTACCTCAACAAAAGGCCATCTATGAAAGTCCCACAGCTAACATGAAAATCAATGGAGGGAAACTGAGAGCTTTCTCTTGAGGATTCAGTACAAGGCAAGGATGCCAACTCTTGCCAGTTCTTTTCAACATATCACTGGATATCCTAGCCAGAGCAAATAGGCGAGAAATAGAAAAAAAAGCATCTGTAAAAGAAAAACTTCTTTGTGTTTCTCCTTTACTACTATACTTCACTTCTGACACCAGATGTGTGGATTTTCTACACATCAAGTAATTCTCCGATACCAGTTGGGTGTCCTAAAATTTAACTTGATTCTGTCACTATACTCCTGGAGATAGTGTTGGATCACATAAGTGAAGGGCTCAGTCCCAGGAGACTGCGGCCTCCAACTTCTTATGCTCATTTGGTGGCCAAACTTGTATTCAAATCTGGTTTTCTAACTCTTGTTGCCATTCACACTTCTTGTGGTACAAGAAAGAGCAGACCATCTTTTTCTTTTTTTTTTTTAAATTGGGTCTGGAAATTACAAATATGACAGGAGGTCATATTGGGGGTGGATGAGGTAGATAACCACCAGGTGCTTTTAATTCAGATGTGAAGACAGAAGGTAGGTGCAGTTCTGGGAATCCTCTGATTACAGCACGTAACCAGGAAAAGATTCTCGAATGTGAAGGACTAAGATAACAGTCCTTTCTGCACTCCTTAAGGTGTGACAGCCTGCTGAAATGTGAAAAGGTTAAAGGATAATTAAAACCTGAAACTGGACAAAGGAAGTCTATACCTTAGGCCTAGTTTCTGGAACCCCTAACCGCATTCTGTTAATCATGAAACTTGTAACAATGAGCTCATACGCCAACTGCCAATTTTAGCCCGTGTAACCCTGCTTGCTTGCGTGGCATGAAAAATAATCAATTGTATATAAGCTGAAAATTACTGTTTGGCCATCTCCCATGAGAATACTGGCTATTGCCCATGGGAACATAGGCGATCACCCATAGGAACATAACATTCTAACAACAAGCTTTCTGCTTCTGTACTCCCCGCTTGCACACCTGACCAGTGGGTTGACAGGTAGTGAATAGGAGAAAGATAGACCTTTGTGTTTAAGATAGAATGAAGAATGAGATTTAGGGCTTATAAACCTTGTATCTTGGCATTTCGGGGCTGCACCTTTGTACAGGACAGCCGCCGGCTAATAAACAGCCTTTGAGAGCATACTTGGTTTGGTCTATTCTATACAGGCCACAACAAAGGTAAAAATCATATCTCTTATATGTTGTAAAACTACTAGCATGTAGATTATAAATAAAACGAGATAGGTTCTTCTGGGAGAGTTTCAAGGGTCAAAAGTAAGTAATGGAACACCTAAGTTGGCAGATTTTTGAGACTCTCTTCAATAGAACACAAAACCTCTAAAGACATGAGAAAAGAAGGGAAGGGGCAGCTGAACAAGTCACCTGCATGTGCCATTCCATTTCTGGCAATACTTTGGGTCTCTTTTGTCTGCTTCCTACTAAGATCCACACCCCACCTTCTTCAGGCCTGTAGGAACACGCCACATCTCTATACTCTAGAGCAGTCTTAGGCTTCCTTTGTCTCTTATCTCAGTGGGGATGCAAAAATGAGTTTTTCAAAAGGAATTTTACCAACTAATAGAACTGATGGAACTAAAACATGAAAGTTTTTTTATTTAGCGCAAAGGTAGAGATTCTGATCTGAATTTTATTGAGGAAAAAGGGCTCTAGTAAAATATTTCCTATCCGATGATTTAATAGACTCAACAGATTAACTGAAATAAGCATTGAATCACTGACTGCCTGTAGCCAGTGGACATGCTTAATGCTCCCTTCAGTTAAGTCGTTTGCTTACCAGGCGTTCCTTGTGTTTGTGCCTAAATTTGCTAAATTTACTTATTACATTATGTCCTTAATGAGATGTTATGTAATCTGATAAAATACTTAGGAAAACTCTTGGAAATTTTAAAGGCAAATTACTAAGAAATATGTTGTGGCAAGACTGGTATAAAATACTGGGGAATATGAAAACCCTTTAAAAAGTTCTGTCCTTAGAGAGCTTGTCAATTGCCTTAACACATCAAACACTAAAAATAGTACAAGATGCACAAGGGATGTGGTTTACTTAAGAAAGTTGATTCAAAGTTCCAATCTAGGAACTCAAAGAAAATTCCTTGCCTTGACACCAACCATTTGGTGAATAAATGAACATGAATATGTTTTGAGATAAAATAAAAATTTAAGGTATAAATGTATAATTTTTAATGATTCCTGCTTTGATTTTTTTCCTTGTGAAGGAAATACTTACTGGTCCTAGCCACATAGGGTAACATAATGCAAGATGGATTTAGGTAACTAAAAAGCTTTGGTTTTGCTGAGCACGCAATGCAAACCTTCTGAGTTAGGCATAGAAAAACTTAAGTTGCTTTATATAATAAAGTGAAGAAAATTTGAAGTTCTCAGGGCCAATCTAGGAAGAAGAGAGTGAGGAGGAGAAGTGGAAAGAGAAAAAAGGAAAGGGAGGCCAATAAGATGGCAAGAGGCTGGGAGCTACATAGAAAGAAATGGCCGGCGAGCAAGGCCTAGTGAGATGGGAACTGAAGACAATTAAGAATAAAGAGGTAGAAAATAAATATGAGGTTGCTTGTATTTTCCTTGAAGAAAAGATGCATTACTTCATCCATACAATTACTATTTACTGAGTGCCTTTTAGTTGTTATCAGCATTGGAATTTTAACACGAATTGTTGTGACCAGAATAACCAGACTCAACCTGAGTGCTTTGATTATAGAGGCAGTTTATTAGCCGGCGGCTGTCCTTCCAAAGGAGCAGCCCAGAAATGCCAAGATACAAGGTTTTTAAGCCCCAAATCCCATTCCTCATTCTGTCTTAAACACAAGGGTCCATCTTTCTCCTATTCACTACCTGTCAACCCACTGGTCAGGTGTGCAAGCGGGGAGTACAGAAGCAGAAAGCTTGTTGTTAGAATGTTATGTTCCTATGGATGATCGCCTATGTTCCCATGGGCAATAGCCAGTGTTCCCATGGGCGATGGCCAAACAGTAATTTTCAGCTTATATAAAATTGATTATTTTTCATGCCACGCAAGCAAGCAGGGTTACACGGGCTAAAATTGGCAGTTGGCGTATGAGCTCATTGTTACAAGTTTCATGATTAACAGAATGCGGTTAGGGGTTCCAGAAACTAGGCCTAAGGTATAGACTTCCTTTGTCCAGTTTCAGGTTCTAATTATCCTTTAACCCTTTCACATTTCAGCAGGCTATTACAGAATGAGCAGATTTCTGCCTTCATGATGTGCTGGCTAGAAAATTACTGCTTGGCTATTGCCCATGGGAACATAGGCTATCACCCATGGGAACATAACATTCTAACAGTAAGCTTTCTGCTGCCATACCCCCGCTTGCACACCCGACCTGTGGGTTGACAGGTAGTGAATAGGAGGAAAATAGACCTTTGTGTTTAAGACAGAATGAGGAATGGGATTTAGGGCTTAAAAACCCTGTACCTCTACATTTCGGGGCTGCTTAATTTGGGGTCTGTGTACCCCTAGCAGACCCAGCTGGCTGAATAAAGAGTGTGTTTCCTATAACTCACTGATTTCTGGTGGTCTGTGTG